CTCCCGGCCGGGATGCGCGCTCCGCTGCGGGGCGCGGGTGCGGGAGCGGTACCGGAGACGAGGGGGGGACATCGGGAGGCAACGAAATCGCCGGCAGGAGAGGGCAGAAGGGGGCGAGCTCGTGTTTTTCGTTCCCCACGGGGGCTCACGCCACGCCGGCAGGACCGGCGGACCCGGAGCGGCGGGGGGACACGGTGTCCGCAGGTCCTGCCGGTGTGGCGGGGGCCTCCAGCCGCATCGCTGCCCGGGTTGGGTTCCCGCATGCGGCACTCGTCACGGCCACGTTAATTAAACTGTAATTAATCATCGCGTCCGGCCGCGATCGGCGCAATTACACTGATCAAACAGAAGTTAATAACGGCGCGGATAGCCCCCAGCCATCACTTTGGTGTGTGCCCCCCCCGCCAGCCCTTCCCCACCATCACCAGCGGCACCGGGAGCACGCGGCGGAGCCGGCGCGGAGCGAAACGCGGGTGCGGAGCCCCCCACCTCCTCCGCGGCGGCAGCGACCCCCGGTCCGCGCTCCCACGCGGGACAGCGGCCGCCGCTCCCCCCGGGCCGCCCCGTCGTGGGGGACGAGGAGCGGGCGCTGCCGGCCGGGCCTTGCGGCGCGGCCTTCCCGCAACGATCGCAACCCGAGCCGGTAATTATTCCTCACCTTTTAATTATTTATCCCCCCCATCCCCCTGTTCTCCGGCCATACGGAGGCAGGAGCGCGGTGAGACGCGCCCGCTCCGGGTCGAGCCCCGCTGCCCCCTCGCCGCCGCGGTTCGGGCGATCCCACGGTGTTCGGCACCCGCAGGGGCTGCGGAACCGGCTGCGGGGCCACGCCGGGCTGCGGGGCTCCGAGAGGGCTGCGGGGCACCGGGAGCGGGCACGGACCGAGCCGGTACCCGCCGCTCCCGGGGCCGCTCCCGCGGCGGCACATCGGGGTCTGGGGGGCTCCGGGGGACTCCGGCGCTGCCCCGCCGTGCCCTCCCCGGGCCGTGCGGCTGCCCCGGTGCCCGCAGAGCTCCGCCGGTGCCCGGGGCGGCAGAACCGGCCCCCGGCTCGCCCCGACCGTGCCACGGAGCCCCGAGGCGGGAGCGGCCCCCGGCCCGACCCCGGCCCCGCCGCGCTCCCCGCCGGCGCCCCGCTCCTCGCAGCCGCCGTATCTTTTAACAGTTGAATTGACTGCAGTTTTTGTCAGTTAATTAGGTTTAATTTACATAATTAGTACAGTATAAAGAGTATTGGGGATAATCAGGAGGTACGTCTCGCTTACTGTGTAAACACGGATTCGGAATTAAAAATCAGATGTAATTAAGGCGTGTGCGCGCGGCTTTTAATTGTAATGAATTTCTAATTAACGCTCAACGATCGCCGCACGCGAGAGCCGGGACGTTTGCGGGCGCCGCCGCCCCCCCAAACCGGGGACCCCCCCGGGGACCCTCCCGGGGCCGGGGGGCGCGGAGGGGCCGCGGCCGGCGGGGAGGGCGCTGCGCCCCGACAGGACCCCCCATCCTTCCCTGCTCCCCGGGCCGGTGCCGCTGGCAGGCGAAGCCGGTGGATAATTTAGGTTAAAACTTAGGGAGCCGTGTCACGGGTGTATAAATAAATAATCACGCGTGGCGGGCGCGGAAGGCCCCGCGCTCCTGGAGGGCTGAGCCGAGATTGCCACATAAATCACGGCGGTCTAATTCAGTGGAAGTTTAATAAACGCCTCCTATTGGAAATGAATGTTCCCCATTTAACAGTTGTATCAGCACCATATAAAACCATGACCCCAATAAATTTAATTTTAGAGGCCGATCAATCCGGGCTTCTCTCCATCGATCCGCGGCGGCTCTGGGCCTCCGCAGCCTCTTCCGCGGCCCTTCCCGCCGAGGCGGGGGAAGGAGCGTTTCGATTGGACTCTTTATTAGGAAAAGATTGCTCCGAGAGGCCTGAAAATTAAACGGTGACATTTTAATTACTGGACATTGACAAAGGGAGCGGGCGGTGGCTCTGCTGGCCGGGCACACTTCGCCTGACCCGGCGTGCGGAGCCCCCGCGGGGCGGGGAGGGACGGGCAAGCGGGGACGAGGATCGGGACCCTCCGGAGCGCCTGCCGTGCGACCCCCCGGGAGTCTGCGGGGTCCTCTGGGTGCCCCCAGGGCCCCTTCGTGGTGCTCAGGGTGTGCACACCTGGCCCCTCAATGCAACCCCTCTGTGCTCACCATCTCTGCCACCGTGCACCCCCAGTCTGTGCACCCCAGCTCTCCCACCGCGTTTCCTCCCTCTGTGCACCCCACAACATCCACCCTGGCCGTCCCCCCGCCCCAGGCTCTCCCCAAAGTGCACCCCTTGATGTGCCTGAGCTCCCCCACTCTCCAGCCCCTCCAGCCGCTCCCACCTTGTCCCCTGTCCCTGACCCCCCCACGGCAGCGCTGCCCCTCACTTTCCTGACCACGCCAACCCTCCCTTTGCATCCCCGCGGCTCGAAATCTCCCGAATTTCCCCGGGCAGGAGGGCCGCGGAGGAGCGAACGCAGCGGGCGGGATCGATAGACACGACTTTATTGATCAGGTGAAAACCGGGCGGCTCCGCGGGGCTGGAGCGGGAGGAGCCCGGGGCAGCGATTCCCTGTGCCCGTGCCGTGCCAGGCCCCCGGGATGGACCCGCACTCACCTGCGCCAGGGCCTGGCAGCTTTGCCTCGGCTGCAGGGAAGTTTTCCTCCTCCCGCCTGTAAAAGCCCCAGACATCCATTTGCCATTAAACATCTCCCGGGCTCCCGGCTCGGATAAACCTTGAACTTCCACCGCAGGACCGGGCGGCGGGAGCAGCCGCCGGGGGGGACCGGGCGGCAGCCGCCGCTGCCGGAGCCAGTAAGGCTCAATCCATAAATCCTGTCCTTAGTGCACACGTGTGGTTTATGGACGTACCCTCTCCTGAAGGTAACACAGCCCCGGGTCAGCGCAGCTCCTCGGCAGCCGCAGCTCTCCCGCTGCAGCTTCCCGACGGGAAAGGCACGGGATCACAGAATCCTGGAATTCTTTGCGTTGGAAGGGACCTTAAAGCTCGCCTCGTTCCAACCCCACCTCCGTGGGCAGGGACACCTTCCTCTAAAGCAGGTTGCACGAAAATCTTTTTATTCAGTGTGGCCAAATAATACACTTAGCGAGGTTTTTTTAATTTATTTTCCCCCATTAGGCTTTCCCAGGGCAGGCAGTGCAGTGCTGGTGAGCTGGGGGAGCAGGATGAGGCAGCAAGTTCAGCCCTCCCATCCCTCCAGACTTCTGCCCCAGGGTGCCTGTGAGCCCCCCCAGCCTGGGAGGATCCCCCAGGGAATGCTGAAAATGAGTTATCCTAAATAACTGCTGTGCCTCGGGACCTCTCCATTGTTCAATGAGCTCCAGCTCCCCCTCCCTCCCTAGAGCCCCCCAGGCCTGGCTCCCACCACAGGGACACTGTGCCCACCCAGCTGCAGCGTTTGGGGTTTCAGGCAGTTCCTACCTGGCTCTCCACAGGACAGGGATGAGGCTGTATGGGGCAGGAATCACCCAAAAATACCCTCACACGGCTCCAGGGTCCCCTGAGCACTCCTGGGAGGGGCTGAGAGGTCACAGCTGGTTCTCCCGCAGCTCCCAAAGAACTGGGGACACCTGGGATGTGTCTGCCCCGTTCCCTGAGTGGCCCAGCCCGTGGCAGCTGGGCAAGGACAGGTCACCAACAGCTTCTCCCTCTGTGCTGGGAAGCTCCCCCAGAGCAGAGCCATGACCTGTACAGACTCCTGACCTTCCTCCTCCTCCTCTCCCTCAGCAGCCAAGGCTGCAGCTCCATGGGGGGTTTCCAGGTGCAGGTCCCGAGGGGCTGGCTGTGATGCCCTGGGTTGTCCCCAGAGGCAGCTCTGGGCAGAGGGAGCACAGTCAGAGCCAGAGAGTGAAGGATGTTCCTGCTCCAGTGCCACTGCCCCTCCCCACCCACAGCCAAATCCCTCTGACACCACAGAGAGGGGTTTCTCCCATGGATTTTGCTCCCTGCAGGATTTTTTCCCCAGCAGACCCCCAGATTCCCAGGTTTTGCTTCAGACACTGCCCCCACGTCAGAAACAGGGGTGTCCTGTGGTCCATCCCTCCTCCAGTGACGCCTCCAGGCAAACTTTCCCTGCAGGGCCACACAGCTCGGTGAGGCAGGAAAACACCTGCACCACTCCCAGATTCAGTCCTCCTGTTTGCTCTCGGGTAGCCAGGGGATCAAATGAAGCTCCCAAGAGCTGTTCCTCGTGATTGCTCAGTTATTAACACCATCACACTGCCATCCCTGCTCCACAGGCCTTAAACCAAGAGAGAGGGACAGGTCGAGGACCCCTCGCAGTCCCCCTTCCCCCAGAGCTATTTGGAAAACCAAGACTGCCCCTCTGCCTTTGGAATGCAGGATGTGCCTGACTCATTACCCTGATGAACCACCGAGGTTCATACATGTGAATTTTCCCCATCTCCACCAGCTGGAATCCCACAGGGAGTATCAGGGTGACATCGTCCCCTCCCTGCCAGGGAAAGGGAGAGGAAAAGCCTTGGGTTTGCTGCCTTTTAAACTAAACTCAGGAGAGACTTTTTATCCAGGGAGAGCTAATGCAAACTGTTAGGGATAAATAAATGGGAGAGCTGCCCATCCTCTGGTTGGCTCACAGGGAGGAGATTTGTCTCACTTTAGAAAAAGGACCTGGAGGGATGGGGGCTGTGGACTCATTCACTGCACTGTTATCTGCCAGCGAGGTTGTGACATCAGAGCAATTAAGACAAACTTTAGTCTATAAGTTCATGCCTGCAACCCCTGCACTTCAAAAGAAGACAAATGATCCCTCCAAGGAAGGAAACAAAGTCTTTCCCAGGCTGCTTCCAGAGTAACATTTAGGATTTGCAGCGGTTCAGGAGGAATGTTTCATTGAATTGGGGGGGGGGGGTTAACCTGCTGGTATAAAATAAACTACCTGAGCCTTTTTATTTATTTTTTTTTAGCAAAAGTTTATTTCTAATGCAAAGACAAGCAAACAAAGCCCCAACCTCCTCCCACCCAAGTCGCTCACCCCAAACCTGCCTCTCACATCTTGTCTGTGTTTTGTTTTTCCTTTTAATAAGCATCTTGAACAAGGGCTGGTTCAATCTCTGCTCGGTCTGTTGTGGAAACGTCCCCAGAAATTGCAGGAGCCAGGAACAGAGACCAGGGACATTGCAATCATTGCCCTTTCCTGTAACAGCAAACCTGGGAGCCTGTGCCTGACCCAGCTGCACCCACCCCTCACTGCAGCGACTCCGAGGGATGAAATCAGGGCTCAAGGTGGAGCTGAGGAAGGCAAGAGGCTTCCAAGCAAGCCACGAGCTGCTCTGACAATCAGGAAAACCTGCAGCCTGTTCCCTGGCCATGAGGGACCCTCTGTGCCATCTCTTTGTCCCCACAATCCCATGGGATGCTGCCAAGCCTGAGCTGTGGCCCTTGGCTCCCTGGGGCAGGACTGCCCCCCCTGTGCTGCTGCTCCCTGCAGATCCCTGCGGCTGGAGCTGCTCTCCCACGGCACCTGCTCCCTGGGCAGGAATTAGGGAATCATGGAATGGTTGGGTTGGAAGAGCTCTTGAAGCTCATCTTGTTCCCCCCCAGGGACACCTTCCACTAACCCAGGTTGCTCCCACCTGGCCTTGGACACTCTCCAGGAATCCAGGGGCAGCCACAGCTTCTCTGGGCAACCTGTGCCAGGGCCTGCCCACCCTCCCAGCCAGGAATTCCTTCCCAATATCCCACCTAACCCTGCCCTCTGGGATTCTGTCATTCCCTGTGTCATTCTGTGTCCTGTCCCTCCATCCCTTGTCCCCAGTCCCTCTCCAGCTCTCCTGGAGTCCCTTTAGGCCCTGCAAGGGGCTCTCAGGTCTCCCTGGATCCTTCTCTTCTCCAGGTGAACCCCCCAGCTCTCCCAGCCTGGCTCCAGAGCTGAGCACTGTCCTCTCTCCTCACCTTTTCCACCTCAGCAAAACCTTTCTGACTGAGGGCCCAGCCTGCAGAGCCTGACCATGGATGCTCTTCAGTTCTGTGTTCTCTTCCCTGCTTGGCTCTCCCAGCAAACCTGACCTGCAGCAGGGAGAGGCATTCCCGGTCATTTATGAGTGCTGATCCACCTGAATGCCCCCTGGAAGGGCAACCCCTCACCTGGGCAAGCCCAGACACTTCTCTTTTTCTGTTTGTTTGCTTTTGTTTTACATTTCAACCCAGTATTTTGTGGCTTTCTGCACTCAGAGACAGCCACCACCTCCTCAGGGTTCCTCTGAACACTCGGCGTGTCATCTGTGCGAGAGCCACAGTTAAAAAATACTCTGGAGTCAGGAAATATCCAGTACATTCAATAACCAAAAAAATAGAGATTATAAAATACTTGCTTCAAGGCTGTGGGCAGTATAACTGAAGATAATCTGTAAAATTGCTCAGCAGCAAAAGAAAGGTGGGAAGAAGATTCCTTAGGGTGGCGGTGAGGGAAAGGCAGCAACGAAACCCCCTGATGGGTTTTGCTGGCACTCCTGGAAAACATTTTTTTTTTGGGAAATACGATCCGGAGAAACGGCGAGTCGGAAGCGTGGGGATGGTGCTCCTGGCCCAGGGGGAGCTCTGGATTCCTGGGATGCCCCTCCCAGCTCACGGTGCTCCCTGGGTGGCCCGGCGCTCCTCCAGCATCCTGCACACCCACATGGACACCACCTCGGCGTTGCCGTCGTTGTACTGCACGATGAAGGGGTGGCCCTGCAAAGGGGGGACAGGCAGAGTCAGCCACGAGAAACACCACCTTTCTGGGAAAAAAACCCCACCCCAACATTGAAAAACTCCATGGTTACAGCCATAAAAATGCAAGAAACCAGCGGTGAAACTTCCTCTGGGATCTGTGTTATCCACGGGCACTGTTCACGTGGGGGAGAGCCCAGACCCCTCCTGGAGGCCTTAGCCCAGCACTCCTTGGAAATACTGGCTGGTTATTTTCCTGTTCCATCAGCTCATCGTGTTTAGACCCTTTAGCTCCTTTCTGGGATGGCCTTCCAGGCTGTGCAACTGCTAAACAATGTTTTGGGAAAATGATATCCTGGTAAAAAAACCTTTAATCTAAAAAAACCAATTCCCTGTGCACCTTCCCTGTGTTTTGACCTTCCAGTGCCTAAAGGGCTCCGAGGGACAAGGAGGGACAGGACACAGGGAATGGCTTCCCAGTGCCAGAGGGCAGGCAGAGATGGGAGATTGGGAAGGAATTCCTCCCTGGGAGGGTGGGCAGGCCCTGGCACAGGTTGCCCAGAGAAGCTGTGGCTGCCCCTGGATCCCTGGGAGTGCCCAAGGACAGGTTGGACGGGGCTTGGAGCACCCTGGGCTGGTGGAAGGTGCCAGTCAGTGCCTGGGAGATGCCCCACTGAGGAGGAAGGACAGATCCAGGGGTTCCAGAGCCCGTCTGGGAGCGCAGGGATGGCAGCAGAGAGCTCAGTGCTCCCAGGAGAAGATGGATGATCCTAAAATGATGCATTTAAGTACACAGATGCTCCAGGCACCGAGCATATGGCCAATGTCTTTTTCCTCCCAACACCTGGCTACTAAAAACCCTCAGCTTTGGACTTGCATGTCTAACAGCAGGAAGGCAGAATCCTCTTTTCTTTTTGCTCCTGCTCCAAAAATCCCAAGTATGTTTGAGTTTCACTGCTTTACAGGAATTCAGTGTGAAATATTGCTGATTTTACTTGGCTCTTACCTAAGGAAACAATTCAGGAGAGGGCATGGCAGGGAAAACCAGGGACAGCAGTCCTGGTGTTTGATTCCCAAGCTGCCACATATTTTCCAGTGTGACCTTCACAAAGCTGCTGAATTTCCAGCAGCCTCATGGTTAAAAAGGGAATAAATGGTGCTGCAAAAAAACCCCAGTACAAGTGTGTTTTTGCCCAGCACTTGGGGTATTTTTGGGTGAAAAAGGTGCAGGAATAAAGTAAATGCTTATTATAAGCAGGACAGCCTAGAAGGAGCCGTTTTGCCTCTTAAACAAAACAGCCAAGGACACTGGAGAGAACCAGGAAAAAACAATCAGGAGGCACAGGCAAGGAAGAGCAGATGCATTGGGGCAATTAAAGGCAGCTATTACAGCCAGTCCCTTCTCCCATGAATCTCCTTTACGATGGAGAGACCCCCCGCAGCCAAAGCCATCTCACAGCCGGGATATCCCTGCACTTCAGCTCCTCACAACAGTGCCCAGGGAAATTGCAGCCCTGCAAGGCTGGGGACATCAGCTGGCCACGCTGGTCCCCCTGTCTGCTTTGTTTTGTGAGGATATTCCAAGGAAACCCGGGGTTTACGCACTGTTCTCCTCAGGGTTAAGTTTAACTTGAAACCACTCCTTGGATTTCCCTTGTTTTTGGACTGTGCTGCTCCAGTGAGGCTTTTTCTCAGGCTGAGGGGGATGGTTTTACTAGAGGATGGTTTTTCAGAACCTGGTGGTTGGTTTTGTGTCCCATTTGAGGGGTGTTTTTGGAGATTTTGTTTGTTTTTAAATAGGGAATGGGAGATTTCCACCAAAGCTACAAATTCAGTGTCAGGAGGACCCATCTCTGCAGCTCTTGGTGGACAACCAAGCAGCATGTCCAGATCAGGCACCAAAAACAAGGAGCTCCCAAGTGGTTCCTGGGTGGCCTGTGCCAAAATCTACTTCCAAACCCACTTTGCTGCTTCTAAAACCTGCCCCCACCCACCAGCATCCAGCCTGCACTCACCCCTGCAACTGCAATAAAACACACATCAAACTGGGATATCAAAACATATCAAACATATCAAACCCACCCTGGAGCTGTGGGTAAGGCAGGGGTCCATCAACCCTGCCCTTGGCCTGTTCACAGCAACACTGGGAGGGAAAACGTGGCACAAACTCCAGAGGTTGGCTCAGCACCCAAAAATGTCTCAGGGAAATGACCAGGAATCAAAAGTCAAACCCATCAAGGAGGAATGCAGCCAGAGCTGCCACAGAGAAATGACAAATGTGCTGCCAAACGTGATGCAAAAGTTTCTCATTTTTGAGCTGAAGTTCTGGGGTTGGTTTGTTCTGCTTTGTAAACGAAAGAGATTATCGTTAATTGCTCTTTTGGCGATTTTTAACTCACTTATTTAGCTGATTGGAAATTTTGGCTCGTTTAATTTCTTCCTGATTTTATTCTTCTGTGGCCTTTCCAGTGTGTGTTCACACCGTGCTGGTTTGTAATGCCACCTTTAAGGGATATGGAGGAGCACTTCAATCCACCCACCACTAAAAATGTAAGTTACTGTTCAGTGATTCTGGGAGCAGGTCACAAAACCCCAACAATTCAGCGCTGGGTGGCCAAGAACATCAGAACCAGGAGATACAAATTATATCAGACCACAATTTTCAGCCATGGTAATTTTTCTCAGGAATTTTCATTCTGAAAATGCTACTACAAGAGTCAACAAAAGGAAATTTATTCCACTTGCTGAAAAGCTCAGTCTCAACAACCAGGTCTCAGTGTGGAACTATCTGAAGTGGTTTCCCTTACTGGGCAGGTACTGGTTTGCCTCTCCCTGGGCTTTGGATGCACTGAGATTCCCGAGGCACATCAGCTTGGAGCTGGAAAGGTCAGGCAGGACAGGGCCAGGGATAGCCCTGGAGTGAGTGTCAGCCAGCCTAATTTCGTGTGTCAACCCCGAAAATGAGATAAACAATGACAAACCAGGCTTTTTAAATGAACTTGTCTCATCTGGTTCTCTTGATAAAGGGTACAGGGCTCGAGCTGCAGTGTCCCCCCAGCCAGGTTAACTCTTTAAAGGGGAGCTCCTCTCCCAGGGTGATGGAAGTGATTTAAATATCTGACATGAAATTAAAAGGGCAGTGCCCCCCTGAACACACAGCCCTGGGAATTCAAACTCATTGCTCACCAACCATCAATCATTTAGCCCACTCAATTAAATGGCCATTATTCAAGGGTAAAAGTTCCATAATTTTACCTACCCTTAAAATTCAGCAATTTGCTTTCGTGGCCTTCTCCTCTGGCCTGAGAAATCTTGGTTTCTGTTAAAAACCCACCCAGAGTTTAGAGCAACAGACTTTACCTGGCAACCCTGGCAGGACTGCAGATCCAGGGGCATTTCCCAGCACCAAGGGCCCACAGTGGATGAACTGTCCAGGTGGATGAATTGTCCCAGGGAGATGAAATTCCCAACTCTGAGCTACCTGAATCCCTCCAGCTCTTTGGTCTAAAGCACATGTAACAGCCTAAACTGCCTCTCATCCACAAATCCAGGGAAGAATCCAGGAGAATCCCTCCCATAAACAGGTTCCTTTGTCACTGGCCATAAAATGTGTGTGCCTGGAGAGCACCAAGGAGGTTCAGACCAACACTGAGGCTCCTGAATGTTGCCAAAGGACAGGCAGAGCACAAATAACACCCCTTAAGCAACGCTCCTGGGATTCCAGAGCACTTTCCAGGCACAAGGGACTGGAGTGTTTGTTGGGAGACTGGTTTAAAGGTCCTCAAAATAGGCAGATACCAACCTGGAATGGTGCCAGGGTGGTGCTTCCTGGGGCCCAGAATGTGAGAGGATGAGGAGCGGACAAGAACCTGAATCCCAAATGGTGTTCAGTGACATTGCCCTTTTTTTCCTGACAGTGCACCCACACCTAACCCTCAACACCATCTCCTTGTATTTTTTTCCCCTGGGCCAGTGAGAGATTGACTGGGGAGAGCAGAAAATTAGAAGTAACAAGAAAATACCTCATCCTTATGCAAGGAACGTTGGGAAAGAAGCAGCACTGCACTGGTGCCATCCTTCTAACCTTTTCTTTTAGGGGAACCCTCCCAGCCTGAGCAGTTCCATTTATTCCAAAGCAGCACAGACAAATCCTGCATCTCCTTCCAAAAATTTGAACCCAGCCTGACAAAAACCACAACAGAAAGATCCCAACTGTTGCAGCCAGCCTATCAAGACAACGGCGGTGCCCTCAGACAGCATTTCAAATACAGTTTATTAGCCTGTGATATGAAAAGGGTATTTTTATTGCATGATATAATGCAATGGGACCTTGGGCGCTCTGCAGAAGGACCTTGCACTCAGAAGTGTAATGAACCCATAGTCCAAAAAACATTATACTGTACATTAACCTATCATTAATGGCACATTAGGGCTGGGGGCATTGCACGCTCGCTGGTCAGGGCTCCATCAGGACAGTGTGGAGCAAACCACAGTCTTCACAGGCTTAAAACAAATAGAGAAAATAAATATTACTGCTGGCTACAGGCTGCTCTAAGGGAAGCTCACTGGCTGCTTAACATGCAATTCTGATGCCGTTTTTTAAAGTGGGGGGGGCTGAGGAAAACGCAGTAGTTTATTTGGTGATGTTAGAGGTGGCTGCTTTGCTGCACGGAGTGTCTCGGTGGTGCAGCAGATGCAGCAACACTTGAGCTTTTCCTGCATAAACATGGGACCTATCTGGAAAAAAATGAAGACTGGAAACCTGCTCCCACTCCCTAATCCCCAGTGACACCGGTAAGGCCTCCCTGGCAGCAGGAGCTGAGACTTGGGAAGAGCATCCTCTGACCCAGCCCTGCACGGCCCCGTTGGACACGTGGGAGCCGAGTTTGCCACCTGGGCACTGCCCCTCAGAACCCCAGCCCTGTCAGCACTGACAACACAACCAAACCAGGACATCCCTCATGCTCCTGGATCAGCTGGGATGTTCCTGCTTTCCCCCACTGCAGGTGCTCTGTTCAAAG